CGTACAGGGTCCAAGTCTCGCTGGCATACAGAAGAGTGCTAAGCACGCAGGCACGGTACACGGTGATCTTAGTGTTAATGTCAGCTTTTTGTTGTTCCACACTCTCTTCGACAATCTAGAGAGAGTTGTTGACGCCTTTCCAATCCACTTGTTGAGCTCGGCATCGAGTGAGAGGTTGTTGCTGATGGTAGAGCCAAGGTAAGTGAACTCACTGACTACTTCTAGTTTGTAGTTGTTAATGGTTATGCTGGGAGTGTCTGCGTCCTGAGCCATCACGTTGGTTTTCTTTAGGCTGATGGTCAGCCCGAATTCATCACATGCTTTAGCAAAGCGGTCCATCAGGCATTGTAGTTCAGCTTCTGTGTGAGTGACTATAGCAGCAGCATCTGCAAAGAGCATGTCCCTAATGGTTGCTTTCCTTACTTTGCTCATTGCCTTCAGTCGTGCCAGGTTGAAAGCCAAGAGAATTGTAAATTCATTTGTCGTTCGTGAAAAACAAAAGTTTAATGTATAATTCTATTGTTGTTGAAAGCCATGAGAGTTGTAGATAAATTGATGAGAGTTGCATTACATTTGTATCATTGTTTAAAGGAAGTTTATTGGTTATAAACGATTATTTTTGTGATAGCCAAATAGTCATATAAAATGTCATCATTATTGAAAGACAAGAGAGTAGTATAATCCGTTTTTGTTCAAGGTAGATGAGAGTTGCATATAAAATTACCTTAAAATTTAAACTCCGAGGGAGTTGTATATAAACGTTTATTATTGGTGATTGTCGAATGAGTTGTATGTACAAATGTTTCACTGATGAAAACTAGTGGTTTTATAACTATGTTGACATTGATGGAAGTCCTGTTTTGTAGACAGTTTTGCCACTGATGAAAACTGAGTCTCTGTTTAAATGATAGGGTGATATAGAAGCAACTGTTAAGTGATAAAGGTTAACAAACGTGTATAAAAATATTATCATTAATAACAATATAATTTTGTAAAGACACTTTCATTACTTAAAGAAATCTTAGTGTTGTGTTGAATTATTTTATACTGAAATCCGACCGTGTTGCTTAGTCAATGTTAATATTAATGAAAACTGAGTGTGGTACTATTAAATCGAAATTGTCTAAAATGTAACCAACATTGATAAGAATTTTTTCAACAGTACCTAGGCTGTTAGACAATAAGACTTATTGAATGCTTTAGTTTGCTACGTGATGATCTTAACCAATGGTTTTATGTTTCACATAAAAACATAATCAGACTAAGAAACAGTTTACGTTTATCACCAAATAATGTATCTATTGCTCTAGATATAGATGTTTTAGGCAATCTTGAAAGAAAACAAACAACAAATAAACACTCTATAAGAAATGACAAGATATAATTTTTTCATAATTAATTGAACGTCAGGTTGTCAAATTGGTACCAACATCATATAGCTATATGACAAGGCAATCTTTGTACACTAATATTAAAAAACACAAATAATAAATTATTTCCGTACGTATATCTTACTCTTACCAAACAGTGTATGGATATTTAATTGCACGCTTCATCGATAAGCCTAATCATATAAAATCGACAGGCATATTATGTTTGTCTAGATTTTCTCTCTCTTTTTACATACATACATATATGTGTGTGTGTGTTTGTGTGTGCGTGTGTGTGTGTTGTATTGTAAGGCTGCGAATTCATGAGTTTATATACACTAACGTTAAAAACTAAAATTTCTTAAAAGGTCATCTGAATGATAATATTTGATTTCATTATTCCCTACCATTTCTTTTCTTCACCAAAAAAATATCCATTTTGTTAATAATTCACATTTTGTGATTAATATGTTGTTCACTAGTCATTGAATAAAAGACGAAAAGCAAGCAAATCAAATAAAACCAATCCTCACATCTTTGAATATGACGTTATCTGCTTAAACAATATATGTCTTTAAGGTTGCTTTCAGCAAGATATATATCTGTTAATAAATGTTCATGCTAAAAATGTTAGGTTAGACTGGGCAATTTGTGATAAATAGGGAAGAAACTATTGACAAAATTAGCCGATTGCGTACGCATAAAGGGATATTTCGTTCTTGAAGTAACTTTATATTTTGTATCATTAGTTTGACAGGAACAAAAAAAAACTTCTTCCATACTCAACCATTATTATCATCCATTTGGCATGTGCGCACGAATTGACAGGTACCTAACATGATTAAGCCGGAAACCTTACATTATATTATGATATGAACGTTCAGTGCACATTCCGGTTTTCGTGCTTTTTTAAATATTATTATCAACACATGTATTAATATAACAGGACACACGGCTGTAGAGCTATTTTAACGCTGTTAAGTTTGAAGAGAACATCGCAACTTCTGTTTGGTTACTTCCACAATCTGACACCAATCTTACACTAATTTAAAGAACTCATTTATACTTTAGACTACACGCGTCCATTCGACATAAACATTTTGAAAGACTATAAGGTGGAAAAATCCTTCAGCGAATTGTCTTTTCGTAGAAAAACATATACGCCAACATTGCACAACCACTCTAGCTGTTTTGACTTGTTCATAAATTAATACGTAATTGAATTAATATATAATTGTAAGGGTACAAACGTATTGGTATGTAGTTGTGCTTGGTATTTGTATGCAGCTGTACGAAGTGTTTGCATGTAGCTGTACGAAATATTGTTATAATTCAAACCTTCAAAGTATAAGCAGAAAAAAAATATTTAGTGACCTATTGACTTTCATCATTTCATTCCTACTTGTCTGGCAAATTTCCGCTTTGAGACTGTGTTAATAATTTTGGTAATGCATTTCCGTCTAATGTTATTTAACCGATAACTGTCAGATGTAACGCAAAACTTTTTTTTCGTTCGTTAACGATTTGAAGAATAAAACTGCAACTGAATGTTTGAACTTCTTTCACTTTGAAATTTTGACTCTCAGAAATTATTGAAGAGCGAAAACTAAAATGTTTCTCGGCATTGATTTTGTAGCTACTAGACATGATTCATATTTTAAGCCGTGTTTTCACAAAGATTTGAGTATGATAATAGTGGATTGTATTTTTGTGACTGATCTATTTTGTGACTGATCTAAGTCATAGCCGTTTAAGTCGACACATCCGACGTACACGAATGCAAACTATTGGCGTTCGTATCAAGTACAAGTTCATGCAAGTGGATAGTCACGTGGGGATAAAGTCTTTGACCTTGATCAGAGACCACCATTACAAGAATCATGCACAAATACATAAATAAGGTGCGGATACCTAACGGGCCCTACAGTAGTAAATACACGTCAACGACGAAGTAAACATTCATTATTTACTGGCTAATGTCAAGTGTCTCCAACCAAGTCAAAGACACCACTATTATTGTGAATCTATTAGAGACACACATTATATCAGAATAAGTGCCGACGTTGCTAGTCAAACCGGCAGTTGTTTTCATGCATAATTTGTTCAGCTTTCATGATATCTCTTAGGATACTAGTGTTGACTCTGGTATAATGTTGTATTGAATTTTATTTTTCTACGTGTCATAATCATCATACTATTACTTGGGAGATACTTTGAGATACATAGTATTATCATTTCAAGAGTCTATGCTTACCGTTACACGGAGCAGTGTGTGTGTCTATGTATATATATGTATATGTATATGTATATATACATATACATATATATATATATATATATATATATATATATATATATATATATATATATATATATATATATATATATATATATATATATATATATATATATATATATATATATATATATATATATATATATATATATATATATATATATATATATATATATATATATATATATATATATATAAAGAATACAAATCATATGGCGAATAACAACCCTCTCAAGCGTACTGGATCCACCAAGGGATCACGTCTGTCAGGGATTAATTAAAATAGATGCAATAAACTGACGACGAACAGTACGAAACTAGTAACTAACTAGCCTAAGCGCTTTCGACTCTTAATGAGTCTTTTTCAAAGGCAAATAGTTTCAATAGTTTGTCGTAACTATGTTTTGTATTTGCCTTTGAAAAAGACTCATTAAGAGTCGAAAGCGCTTAGGCTAGTTAGTTACTAGTTTCGTACTGTTCGTCGTCAGTTTATTGCATCTATATATATATATATATATATATATATATATATATATATATATATATATATATATATATATATATATATATATATATATATATATATATATATATATATCCATGAGCTAAGTAATAATGATTCAAAATGGCGCTGGAATATTACTGTTTTATACACATGATCAGGACATTGCAGGTTCGAACAAGACTCGTGAAGAATATTTTTCATAACAATATAGCGTAGTTTCATGTACATGAAAATAAATCTCAAATTCAAAGTACATAACCGAAGTCAGTTACAAGAGCAATGTAGGCAGAAATCTTGAAACATCCTCACGTGTCTCTATTCTGTTTTTGGCACGTTAGCGGCTTAAGCGGTGGTGGTGGGGGATCTAACCAACGTAATTGACATTGTCTACAAACGACTGTTCAGCCTAAACACTTGATATTTTACAGACTAAAATCAGCAGCGAGATAATAATTTAAAATACATAACGTAGAAATAAGCACAAATGCAGCAGAGATCTTTCAGTTTTGTATAAAGTTTTTTTTTTATAGAGATTATGAACAAATATAGAGAAAAAGCCATATCAATATTCTTGTATATTATTTTGAATTGAGTATTTGTGTTTTAAATTTTTAACGTAGCTTTAACAATTTTTGAGTCATATCGCTACGATGTCTAAAGTGTGTCAGTTTATAGTGATGTCTATTACTGTGGTAATATGTCGCACACAGGTAGCAATATGTCCTACCCCGTAACATTATCCTGTTAACAGGCCGACCAGACCTAACACTAACCTATTAATGCTGAGCGCCAAGCGACGCAGCAGTGATTACCAATTTTGTCTTTGGTATGACTTGGCCTGGGATCGAACCCACGACTTTCAGCATCCAAGGCGGACGCTCTAACCACTAGGCTACCCGACCGGTGTTTTGAAATGGTTTAAGAGCATATATGATGCTTTCATAGTATGACCGTAATGATAAAAAGAGTTTCTAACGTTCCAGAAAAGATCAAATCGCTATTTCCTTTAAATAAACTAACAGATTTGTCAAAAAATCTCAGATGTTGCATTACTTTTTCAAATGCATTTGTTATATATATTTGATACAGCGATTGCCATAGGAGGTATGTTCGAACAGCAACGGTACAATCTTGGCAAAGAATACAAAAAATCGTGAAAATTCTTTGCTTGATGTTGTGTAAGTAACCTTTAAATAGTTCATGCTTACTGATAAAGACAGAAAATACATTTCTACTGATAATGAATTGATAAATTATAAGGTTGTGTTTAGTATTAATATAATGAAATCATACTGTGAGATAGATTTTATGAACCTTCTGATATTCCCGATAAGTAGAAAAACAGCAATTGAAAGTGTTTAGAATAATTGGATTTCATGCTGCAAACGCTAGTATACCGGTTGGTCTAGTACGCAGTGATGGGCTGAGGTCGGAAAGACACTTTTGGCATAACTTTGCTGATTTATTTGTTATTGATTATTCAGATTGTGCGTCTGTTTTGCGTCTGAATTGCCTGCACACACACAGTAGGTTGCAAGCAAAGCTTGAATAGCTTCTATAGTAGTAGAGGAAAACGAGGTTTTCAACTCACTTTGTTTTTATTACCCTCCAAACAAGTATAAATTATAGTCCTAAATTATCCCCCACCCCACCCCCTTTTTTTCCAAAATAAAACAGGGTTTTGACTCACCCTCCCCCACCTCTTTTTTTCCCCCTACTACTACTATGTAAACAGGTATTTTGTAACCAAACAAAACAACAGGTGTTGGAATGCGATAAGCTCTTTACACAGAGGTGACTAATTTGTTAGAACAGCGCATGTGTGGAATACAATTATTCTAAAGACGGCAAACGGGTTTTTACCACAAGATAACAGGATGAAAATTAAACTGTGCATTAGAATGTTTCAGTTAACAAGGTGGAAATTAAACTAGCATTAGAATGAAAATGATATTATTTTAGTTATATTATATCTTAAGTTTAGATAAAATTTTACGTTACTCATATTTTTTTTTTGATATTTTTTTTCATACTTGCTAACCCTCATTTGTAGAATGTCTGTTAACATATTATCAATAATACGAAATTCACGTAATAAATCATCCATATTATATTTGACTCCTCGTAGGTAAGACCGGATCTGATCAAGTAGTTTCTTGTAAGTTTTAATTGATGTTAAACATCCATGATTTTTATCAAAAGTCTTGGTTCTACTTTTTTACACGCCGCTGTAAGTGAAACACCAATACCAGATATAATTAACAAAAAGGGATTTAACGATATCCCACTTGAAATTATACCGGAACTGGTCATTAACAATGGTAGATATGATATTACTCGAAGGATCTTGTTGTAGTATTTGTAACATTTTTTAACACACCAATGTTTTTTGTGATAATATTTATAGTATTGTATTAGTGCGTCCACATCCTGTTCTGAAATATCTTTTGAAATATGATTAAAATCAACTATACTTTTTTTCATTATAATATTTATTTACATAGTTATGATAAATCAGTTACAAATTCCAAACACCAATGATAATCGGCTTCAACTACTGGAATTGTATCAACCAGTTCAATTAAAAATTCTTTTTCAATATCTTTTAGTAATAATATAATTACAGTTCCAGAAGACCTATTAAAATTATGTAATGAAGATGATGTGGTATATATTTTAAAATTTACAGTGCTAATCACTGACAATCTATACATACCAGTAACTTCTGCAGTGTATTTGATAGAATTATTTTGCCTCATCCATGTACTAGACCCAGATGCAACAGTATACACAATATTTTTAATCTGTTTGTGAGGAATTTTAATCATACTCGTTTTCTCAGCAATATTAGGAATTCCACTAATAATATCATTGAGTTTTGTGTTAATATCATTGAGATTTGTGTTAATATTAGCGAGTGTAATGCTAACATTTGATGGATTTCCAAAAAATTTATCTCTCATTTTGTTTATGTTTCTGCGAAAACTTAAAAATGTGTTCACGTGACTGGTAAAATCAGTTTTGAGCGCTGTGATTTCATTAGTAATTGAAGCGTCCCAATCATTGACGTATTTTTTAGTGACAGCATCCCCATCCTCAGTTGGGTTTCCAAGATCTGTAATCTTGTTTTGTGTCATAACAATATTCCCACTTGGATTTCGTACAACTATATCTGACAGTTTTACGTTACTCGTCTTTAATCGTCCTTCTTTGTCCTGGAAAATGACGACTTCATCTGGATCTACGCTGGTATAATATAGTAAATTATTGATTTCATTTTTGAGCCGATCAAGAGTTGCATATTTGGATAAGTCACCTGTGGATAAATCTCCTAATAATGTTCCAAATTTTGTATAATAACTCATTATTTACTGTCCTAGATAAAATTATCAACACTAGTTTAATATTATACAAAATGGCAAAATCGTCGATACTAAACTTTGATGCAGAGAGACTAGTGAAGCATAAACATAACAATGAACTTCCTGATTGTCATTATCTTATTGTTGGGCGAAATGGATCGGGGAAAACAAATTTGCTTATGAACTTGCTTCTTGGTGATAATTTTAACTACGATAGAGTTTATATTTACACAATCAATCCACAGCAAGATAAGTATGAGTTATTAAGTGAGTATAATAACAAGCTTCGTAATGATCTTAAAGCTGGTGAAGATTTTTTTATAATTAGGCAGCCAGAAGATCTTATTCCAGTTAATCAACTTGATGCAGATGAACATAAGATAGGAGTTTTTGATGATATTCCGCTAAACAACATGGAGATGAACAAATAAGATCATATTTCTCACTGTCACGTAACAAACAGTGTAATTCCGTTTATCTCGCTCAAGGATTTTATAATGTTGACAGGTTTATTAGGCGAAATACGGGTTGCTTTATTTTATTTCCAGGATTGGATAATGTTGACGTTAGAAATATTGCAAGCGAGCAATGCGGTGGCGTGACAAAAGATAAGTTTATTGAACTTTACCGTAATGCTACAAAAGATAAATACAACTTTTTCTTGTTTGATAAACTTACAAATGATCCAACTAAAATGTTTCGCTGTTGTATTAACAGTTACTTACAGTAAAGCGTTTCAATTTTATAAAATTTATAATTATAATAATGGACAAACGAGCAAGATACAGACAACACATAGAAGATCTAAAAAAAACTTGCTCAATCTCAGGCATCACTTAAGCAAAACGTACAAGAAGCACGACGTGGGCAAATAACTGCTACAGAAGCAACAGCTACAATTTTCAAGCCGGTTACTGAAGCATTATTAGGTAAACAACCTGAAACTAAACCACTGTTAGAAGAAGAACTTAAACAACTGCAGGAAAAAGGTTTGGTTGGAATTGTTAAAGAACAACAAGAAGCAGCTGCTGAAAAACTTGTTACCAGATCTGATGAAGAAAAAAGAAAATTAATTGAGGCACTTACAGCAAATATAGCTGATCCTGCTGCTAGACAAGCTGAAACAGATCGATTGATAAACAATCCGCTGAAACTTGAGCGAAGATTAGCAGAGTTAACAACGCAAGGAATAACAAATATTATAACAAGTTTATCAGGAGATATAAAAGATATCAAAGAGGAGCAACAAAGAGTTGGTGAGCTTACTGTAAAGTTTATGGAAGTTGGAGATCAAAGACTTTATTTTACAAAAAGAGCAAATGATGAGATAAAAGGTAGTGAATATGATGATTTTTTAAACAAAGAAAATATAATAGATATTGATGATATAAACAAGTGGACTAATGTAGAATATCAAGAATTACTCGATAGATTAGATGTAATATTTAATGATGGAGTTACTGCTAAAGATGAAATAAACACGGTTGCAGAAATTGATAATATGATTCCACTTTATGAAAGAATGAGAAACGGTGTCATTGCTCTCACGTTTAAAAAAGCAGCAGAAAATAGTAGACCAAAAGGTTTTGGTAGTGGGTGGGATTTTAGAAGGAAATTTTTTACTTCTGATAAATCTCGTGTAAAAAAATATAGAAAAGAAAAAAGAGGAACTGGTGTAAAAGTATTTACTTCAACTACTGAAATGATAGGTAGATTAATGTTATTAATATCATCAAAGGAAGCTGGGAATGTTAGTGTTGAACTTGATAATGAAATCATTGACATACTTGATCATCTAAGATCGAGTGAATTATTAACATCTGACGAATACGAAACTTTACACCGCGACTTAATCGGGGCGACTTAATTTTGTAAAATGATATAATATTAAAGGAATGCAAACAACATTATTACTAAACTCTATTGAGTCTGCAGAAGATAGCGCAAATTTTTCAGTAAATTATATTCCACCTATAGAACTAGATCCTGCAAAACAATATGAAATTGGATTAATTTCTTGTACTTGCTGGAATGCTATACCTAACGTGAAAAATGATGTTAACGATGAAATGTATTTTACTATGATTACAACATCTCCAATATCTACAACAAAAAAAAAATAAAAATTCCGCAAGGAGCTTATAATATTGAAGATCTAAACAAGACAATCAAAGAGCTCATAACAAAAGCTAACGGTGTGGCTGATAATTTTGAATTAGCAGCAAATTATAACACATTGCGAACTAGGATAACTTTGAAAAATATAGCAATCAATCTTGAACCAAGAGAAAGAAGTATTGCACAACTGTTAGGATTTACTGAAAAAACTTACACTGCACTTGATCAGCCTATTACATATGACAGTGAACTGCCAGCAAATATAACAGAAGTAAATACAATATTAGTAAATTGCTCTACTGCTTCTGGCTCTTATACATCAAAAGGTAGCAAAGGTCAAACGATTTACAGTTTCTCACCAGAAGTCCCGCCAGGTTCTCTCATGCAAATAACTCCACGACATATTATATATTATCCTTTAA